AATTTCATTGACTCTTACTACAACATGTAGTTTTAAAATATTCTTTATAAATATTTTTAGCAGCCACTTCACTCTTATCCACAGTACAGTGAAAATCAACACACAGTAAATTTATTTAAATCATGAGTGAAATATTTACATTTTGTCAATCGACTATTAATCTTATTGCTCTCTTATTGTGTGTAGTAGCTGTTAAAAGAAAATAAGATTTTCACACTGATATTTTCCCAGGTGGAAATGCTACCACATTTCATTCTGAAACAACTCTGTACAATCACATAACTAGAATGTAGTCTTGTAAAACCTGAATAAACAGGATCTGTTTGAAGCTTGTTAACAGCTTGACAAGCAACTTTAGCACCTGGTAGATACTTTTTGAAGAAATGACATAGAAAGTGACATATCTCAACTTTATTTAGATAGACTATCCCTTATCCCTTTATTTGGTGCAATGTGTTATGAAAATGCTTTATTAAACAATTTCTATTTTTTTAACAAACACATGCTTATTTAGAAACCAGACACCACATAATACTATATGAATTAAAATAAAGATATTTGCTATTTATCTGCTACAGCCTACAATGACTACCAATGCATAGAACAGTTAAAAATAGGGCTGTGTTTCTGTGTTCAAAAGTATCAGTTGTTCATTTCTGGAGAGACTGTGATACAACAACATATTGCAGTATTGTCTGGTTGATAAATTACTTTCCAGATATGTGATAGGGCTTTATGTTACTGTCATTTTCCCTTTAAAGGGAAGAAAGGAACTATGGCAGAGGTCGGGAAGAAATTATTCTTCTTTTCTGGAAGTTGCCTAATACAGATGCAGGACCAGATGCACTGAATTCAATCAGTATCAAGGCAAAAACTGGAACAAGACTGTGTAACAACAAACCCCATCATCAGCCTGATGAACAGTAAATGATGTAAGACCTTCTCCAGGACCTAACAACAATTAAATGCATCCTGAGATGTCCCCACAGATATACTTTATTTTACATCAAAAAGATAAGATTTATGCCTTTTGGAGTAAGCTCCTGGAGGTAATCAAAGCTCCTGACAGCACTGTCACATTTATTATTTTTCTTCATCATCCTCACCAGTTGCTCACCTTCCTGCAAATTTCAGTTATTCCAATAACCAAATGTGTATTTTCCTAATACCACCTGATATTAAAAAGACCCTTAATAATTAACAATCACACAATGCATTTGGCCACGAGATTGCATGAACTTGTGAAAAAAATAATTCCTAGAGGGGTACAGACATCTAATAAATTTAAATATAAGACTAGGGCAACTATATCTAGCTTCTGTTTTAAAAGCACTTACTAGAAGTAAGAGGACACCTTTTTTTTCAAGTAGGTATCAGTGTCTTGGTCATGCTGACAGGTAACTGGCATTTATACTTATATCTGTGTGTACACACTATTACATATATACATTCAATATGCATTTGAAGTATTTTTGGTTTTATGTATTTAACCAAAACCCCGAAAGAGATGTGTAGGTAGACTTTTGGCAGGAATTAATAAGCTTCCAGTGTAATACATTAGAAATCAACACACATATAGCCAGCAAAGGTGAAACCATCTTACATAATAGCTCGCTTTGATGTGCATTTAAACCTACTGTCTGCCATGAAGAAATTCAACATATCAGCAAACGTGCCACTGGATTATCACAAACAGCCAATGAGACAAAGCTACAATTGAAAAATAACTACATTTATTATTCTTTCTATATAAAATTCTTTTCGTTAATGCTCAGCAACACGCATTTGGCAGCTGAACTGGGTATTTTTTTGAAGCAGCAGTTAACAATGCAATCCACAAAACAAAGATAAGCTCAGTGGTTTCCAGGAAACTGAAAGATGAAAGAATGTGGAGAGAGTCAGACATGGTTTCAAATGAAGAACAAGTGAACCAAGGTCAAACTGAAACCTAAAAGAAATTCAGCAAGGGCCCAATACCATGGTACAGATACATTTCAGTTGGATTGAAATTTCACAATGCATTTCAACAATGCATACAATACATTCTTTGGTATATTAATTCACTAGGGACAATTTTTTTCAAAGTAAAGAAGGAACTCAGATTCCAAAGCCATTAGTTTCACTAATTCAAGTGAAACATTCAGCAGATTTTATGCATTTATATCAAATGTAAATTAGATTGAAGTTTTATCTTCCAACTTTGTTTTGTGAGTTTACTCCCAGATGCAGCTGAGACCATGAAGTCTTACAGCATATAGAGGCACATAACATTAACTGTAGTGGAGGAATCCATAAACGTTATCATTTCAGAAACCAACACCTACTAAATATTCTCCTCCAGAAATATAATTAACGTATTCATTCCCCTTGAAGAGTAGGTCATTGCCATTATACAAATAAATTTAAATAATACATTCTACTGTACTGAAAAAGTACAGCATTTTACCATACACACCAAAAAAAGCTAATGGAGTTCCTTTATACCTACTGCAAGTAATGCCCTAACACACAGAGCTAAATTCTGTTTAGTTAAACTATTCATAATTTCCACCTACAAAGTAAAAACAAAATGTATTTTGTCCAAGGGACTTTCAAATTTTAATGTAAGTTCTCTCTTACTAAGTTTGTAAAATATTGTATTTTACAACTATGAAGTATAACCATGCATTCAAAAATAACACTCCTAACTGCTGGCAAATCACCTCCTCTACTCAGAGCTGAGAATTTATTTACAATTTTACATAGCAAATTACAGTAGTTTGGGAAAGAGTAAAGGAGAAATTGAAATGAAACATGAATTTTAAAAATGTGGATTTAAAATATACAATTTTAAAGAAAGCTAGCAAAATAACAATGCTAGAAGCTGCATACATGGATTCTTGCCACAAGTGAGAGGCAAATCTCTCATGACATGCATTTTATGAAGCACAAATGACAACTTCATTACCAGTCCAAATATCCCCTAGATCCATGCCTCGGCATTCCTCTTCTGACATACAGTGAAGAGTGCCACCTAGTGAATAAAAACCAGCATTTCCAGAAATCATTAAATTATTCTGGAAACATACAGGCTATGTACTCCCTTCCTCAACCCAAGCTTTCAGCTTAGTTTTTCATCATGCAGTGTCTTGGCAGAGACTATATTTACCAAAATTTTACTTTGGAATAGAAACAAGGTCCGAACAAAACTGCATATAAGTTATCTGATTTAAGAAAAAAAAAAACAAAAAAAAACATTCAATGATGTGTGTTGCATGAAAAACGAAAAAAAAAGCAATGCACTTTTTTTTTAAGGCTGTTCTTTTTTCACAGAAGAAAGTGCTTCCTTTCTATATATTTAACTGTATTATTAGAAGGAAAAACTTACTTGCATTCAGACTTGAAAACTTCTTTACCTTCACTGACAACTGAAGTATCTCAAAAAGGACCCACTACTCACATATTTCACATCCACATGCTATGATCTCAGTCATGCTACAGAGCATCAACTCATCAGAAGACAGTGGGTCCCCCTAAAGAAGCCCTGCCAGGTGCTGCACAGCAGGCAGCAATGCCACACATTGGTGCAGGTGACATTCTGTATTTACAAACAGTGTAAACTGGCACTACAGTCTATCAATTTAGAGTTTTAAATACATAAAATCTAGTCAAGGAAAAATGGATGGCATATTGAAAGAGTCTGCATGTAATGTGATACCAAACAAAACTGCTATAACCCAAACAAGATTTGGAAGTGACCCATTTATACACAAAATATTTGAATGAGTCAGCAGCCCACTGCCCTTCCCAGGCCTGCTGTAGGCTATCGTACAATCCCCAGACGCACTTCCTCAGATTGTGCTTGCCTCATGAGCAAGGTCAGTAGTGACAAAAAGTGATATAAAGGTCAACAAGTAGAATAATATGTTAATATGCAGACTTACTTTATCTGATTATCCATTAGCCTACTCAATACACTCAAGTTCACAGATTAGCCCTATTTATCTGTCTCTCTCTTTTAACTGTTTAATATAACAGAATAGTGTATTAAAATGAATTTCTACTGTATTAAAATGAAGTGCTACTATTGTTTTGGTACTGTGAATAAATATAAATTAAATATGCTTCCTTACTGTAAACACATACACACAAAAGTGAACAGCCTCTAAAACAATCACTGTTTCCTTCTCCAAAGTCTTTGTTCCCATCCTTCAAATATACTCCAGCACTGCCAGAATAGACCTTGCTTATGTTGAGTGGCTGAAGCTTTTGCAACTACAGCAACGGTGCTGTAAGTAATTGAGATTACACCATTGTGGTTATGCTGCCACCTGAATCAGAAAGCTTTTGACCTGCACTGGAGATCCCTTTTTGAGGGTGATAAAAGATAACAGGAACAATACTTTTCATAACTCTGATTATTGTGGACAGTAAGCCTACTGCCGAATAAAGACCTCCAAGAAAAAAGGTAGACTACATAGATTTTTGGTCTGTCACAACAAACTTAAATATTTATGTTTTTCTTACTAAGTAAAAAACTCTAAAATCAGCTACACACAAGAAACAAATTTCTACAAGGCACAGACATAAAAATGCTATTTTTCTTTCAATATAGTGAAAATAAAGAAAGATTACCACAACAATTTCTTGTATAGAGCATTCCCATCAGGCCTGGTCCTTCACAGAACACTGAAGTACATGAGCCATTAAAAAATCCTTTTAGGGTGTATTTATATATTATTGTTTATGCTCTGCACCTCTGGGGAAGAAGAGAGGAGGACAACGTCCTTAACTTTGAAAGACCCTATATTAAAGGTAAGTATACATTACAACTGACAAAAAAAGATTTCCCAGATTAAGAATAATTATTTGAGACTTTTGCCTACATATTTCATTGGGGATTCCTTCAGAAATTTACATAAGGTTATAAAACTTGATTTTATTTTAAGGCACATGGAATGATACTCAATTGTTCCCAGACTGAAGAAAGAAGAAAAATATGACAAAAATAGGAAACTTACAAGCCTTCTCCCTAGGGATTCCAGCTGATAATCAATTTCTTTGAGACGATTCTGTTGATCACGTTTTTCCTTATTGTCCCGCAGAACCTTTTCACCTGGAACTGTTTCTGGGCTTCTGTTTGCACAAACCAGAGACTCCTGAGGAAAAAAAACATAGAAGTTAACCATGTAATTTTATATTGCTTCATAGACACATGAGGATTCTTTTGCTTTCTACTAAGAAAATAGTAGAATGCTTAGAATAATACGTCAATGTCAAATTCTGCAAATGCATAGTTTTTTCATTTTGTATATTTTCAAATAAAATAGCTAAATATCAAGCAAGATATATTTCAATAAAAGAATTCTTACCCTTTGCATTTTAAGAGGAATTTCTTAGTCTCCAGATCTAAGACTTGGATGCTTAATTTTTACTACAACAATAAAAGCACCCTGAGAATAGGGGTGGCTGAATGTCTGGTTCCAAGTTTGCTCCTATCAACCATACTGGGATCAGAATTAAGGCAGAAGGAAAAGGAAAAAGTGAGCTGAAATGACAACTTTTGTTTACTAGGTATCATGGTAAATGAGGCATAACCTCCTCTCTGTAATTTGGGGTAAGTTGCCCAAACTTTAATAAAGATTTGGGTTACACATTCTCATATGCTTCAATAGTTTTGGATTAGATTCTGAAGTTTGTATCAGTCCCAAATACATGCAGGTTTCAGTATTACATGTAATTTAATTCATTGAGAATGACAAGTATTAGCAAAACTGCAAAGTTATGTTGTAATCAGAAAAAAAACAGAGCTTTCTCTTGCAAACAATGGATTCTATAGAAAAATCCAAGAGTAGCAGATAATAAAGCTGAAACAAAAAACGTTTCCCCATCCTGATAAATAATTCAACCCAAAGGGAGGGACATGAGCAGGCATAGAATGAAAAAATACTCTATTCATTCTTACTTTCAAAAGCAGCTCAAGAAATTTTAATAGACACACAAGGAAAATAATTCCAAGTAGCAATTGCCCAACTGGAAAAAAAAAACAACCTTCACAATTCAACACTCAACAGGAAATTCCTCAGCTGCAATATACAAAAAACTGTATCTGTAAACAACTTTTTTCTAAACATCAATCTAATCTATGAGTTCTGACATTTAAATCAAACTTAGTTCCTGAAAATAAACTTATTTTAATACAGTAAAAATTTTTGAATACATATTTACAATTAGTAATAGTCTTCAGTACCACAATGACAGTAAATTTTCATGTAACAATCATATTTTCTGCTTCATTCTGTATTGCTTTTGAAATTATTCATAATAATCTATTTGATATTTGACCACTCTGGAGCATTAAGCTGCTGCTTTCTCATAAGTAGTTCTTACTGTATAGTAAGTACTATCTCATCCCTGAAAAGTAACTGATAGAAACTCACACAACATGAGCAAAGTCAAGCCTTTTCCTCATTTACTAATTTTTTAACATTCTGCTCAAGATATCATTAGATAAATGTATGAAGTATTATATGATGGAAAACATTTTATTGTCAATGTTTCACATACTTCAGAATATGTTATATTTCAATTAGATAGGACATATACATAGTAGAAGTCCATTTGAGGTTACTTCATATTCCATATTTTTAGATATGTAGAAAACAAAACATTTTACATAAGGGAAAATACAAACACTTATCAAGAGCCAAAGCTGTAACAAACATAATGCCAACGAGACATATGCAGTATTTGAAATATCTATAATTATTTGTTGCACTCCCTTTTCTCCAGATTTTATAAATAAATAATAACAAAACCCCACCTAATGAAGTATATTAGTGTCATACAATCATCCTGAGGCATAAAACTGGCTGATCAGTTTATTAACCTGCTTCTAAGCATGCTCTGAAACACATATCATCTGTGAAATTTATCTGGTTTGGCGAAGCACAGGCTTAGAGCATAGGCTATCAAGGAGCTCATTTTAATTAGCATAAAAATTAGCATATCTTCTGAATTTTGAGCATTTATTTAGTCTTAAACTGTTAACTGTAGTCCACTTCTATAATAGAAAAGGGAATCACTTCTATAATAGAAAAAGGGAATATTTTCCTGATAAAAAGACCCCAATCAGTTATGAAAGAACTCCTCATAGTAATACACATTAATTATCTTTTAAGAAAACCAAGCCTACAGATATTATTGTTTCGTTACCATCTTCATTTGCTTTAGCTTCCAGGTAGTTTCCCAAGCTGGTAACTGTACTCATCACACACAGTCTTACTCTCGTATTCTTTAGCCTATCATTTTCCTATTTCTTTCAGGATTACAATCAACTTAAATTATTCTTCCCAAAAAATATTAAGACAGAAACTTTTCAAAATATTTCGTTAATTTGGCACCAGAGCAAAGAAACATTTCAGAGAAAAATGCAGCTCTGATGAGAAACATTTCCATGTAAAAGAGAACACTAGTAATGGAAAAGCATTCTTAATCCAGCTGGACTCCTTGCACAAAAAGATGAACATGCCTGCTCCTCTGTTACTGCTCAGCTATGGTATTGCAAGATAATTAAAGCCCATTATTAAAGATTTCAGAGTGAGAATAGTTCCTGTATCCTGTCAAAGTATCCATCAGTGACAAAAAGGACATCTCCCACTGAGGCAACAATGATTAAGTGTCTGCATTTTGAAAGCTATATCTAACACAATTCTTGGAAGAATGTGCAGTTTCATAATATGCAATGCTAAACTAATTCTGAATTAAAATCATAGAATTACAGTGCCTGAAAGCCTTTTACATGCTGCAAAAAAAAATTGAAAGGTAACTGCTTTTCCCTAATGAAAGGTAACAAGAAATTAACTGCCTCTTTTTGGTTGTTAGGTTTAACATTACTCAAAAAAGATAATATGTTACTCTTTAATTACCATACACCTAAATGCAATTCAAATACTTCTGGGCTATTACTTGAAAGGAAGCAACAACAATAACTTGGACAAACATTTCCAAGCAGAGTATTCATTATCACAGACAAGTCAAATTAACTTCAAGCTGACGTCTTGCAACACTGATCAGGAGATCATTGGCAAGCTCAGGGTAACACCTGCATTTGTTAGGTGATTACCAACGAGGGGGAGGTGCTTTTTCACACATTAGATCCCAGCTGGTAAATGATCAACAGCAAAATGTGACTCCCCTGGAACTGAGCTACAGAAAATACTGCTTTTTTTTTTTTTTACTGGTTTTGTAAAACAAAACTTCACATCCAGAAAAAAGCCAATTAAAAAAATGATATTAAAGCATCCTTACAAAAGGAGAAGAAAAACAAACCCACAGGTATTTTAGCCTTTCAAAGAGATGATTCTCAAACACTGGTAACTGAAAGCAGTTTTGTGAATGAACATTTTTACAGATATTCTCTGATATATCAGTTCTGGCCATAAAATGAAAATATTACAGACGTAAATAAGCTTTGTGCAATTAAATGCAAAATAAGAATTATGTGGGTTTTTTTTTATTTTAAACCCCATAATAGTAGAGGCAACAGTATCCCAGGGCATGGGATAAATTGGAGTCATCTAAGTACAAAATTCAAACAATAATTTCTCAAGGCTGAGACCTTGATTCTTAATCTTCAAATCTCAATACTGCTGGCAAAAAGACAAAGGCCTTTAAAAACAAGGGACATACAATTTCAACCTATCTTCTACAGTCTTTAACACTGCTTATCGGTCATCACCTTACCCTTCAGAACATAAGTAAACAGGCACTTTTGGTATCCTAAGATAAGAAGAAACCTAATCCAATTCCCAAAGGTAAACTATCATGGATAAGTTGTTTCTATGCAGGAAAAATCACCCTCATGCAGTTACAAATGTATGAGTTACCAATTTCTGAACATGAAGTATCTTGGAATTGTGGAATCAACAACTGTTAAAAACAAGACAGTTCTTGAATTAAATGTGACTCAAAATAGCAACAAATTATTTTTCAATTGTTTTCTACAGCTAAAATTTCTCACTTCATTACTTAACACCTAGAGTTTATGAATAAATAAAGGATCCTAAAGAAAAACGCAGAAGATACAAATACAGACATATGCGGTATTGATCTCAACACACACTTCAAATAAAATATCTGCAGATGAGCTCTGATCTGTAACCTACCTGATACATCTGGCTTGGACATTTTGAGCCAGAGCTGGAAAGAGCAGGAAACTCTCCATCAGAAAGAAGGAGTTGAAGCTTATTGTCTATCTCATTCAGGAGATGAATTTCTGTCGATTCAGGTGTGTACCCTTCTCCTGGTGCCTGCCAGACGGGTACATTCTCCTGTTGGAAGTACAGGAAATACTTGAGCCTCATTCGCAAAGGAAACAAGACTTTAAGGGCTGTTTAAAAGAGTATTTATTTTTCAGATAAACCATACTTGATAATAAAATGTACATTTTCATCCATCTCAGTACACAGCTAAAATCTCTCAAATATTCATGTCCCTAGCACACTCGAGAGCAGCCATGGACAGAACAAGGAGAGAGATTCATACATTCAACGCTTTTAAATATAACCAAGGAACAACTTAAATGGACAACCACTTTGCATCTGATAAAGGAGTCAAAAAGTGAGAAAGCCTGACCAAAACTTGGCTTGGAATGAACTGCAGATGTTGATACTATGGCAGAAACCACCAGGAGCCAAATCTCAGAGGGTATGAGATATAATGTGACACTTGCAAGGTACCACCAAAGAAGAAAACAAGGCATTCATAGGAAATCAAAGGAGCTGCTCTGAGATCAGTAGCTGCCATCCTTCTAGAGCCCCTATATGTTATCACAGAAACTCTGGGAGAGATAGAAAGCAGGGAGTTTTTTCCTGATCATGATTTACATGACTTTTTCCTCTTGATAGCAGTTAACACCTGAATAACACATATGAATATATACTCCTACTACATACAGTTGCATATTATGAGTGAGCTAGGTCACTTAACCCAAGCAGATGAACTCATACCCACAGACAGATGCAGGTTCTCCACAGCAACTTGTCACTCCCCGACTCACACTCAGGGAAGCAAGTCTGCACAACCCCATTTGCTGGGTATCAGAGTAGCAGATTGCATCTCTGTCCTGACCACAATGAAACACCAGCTAGGACCTTAGAAAAGCAAGGATGTGTGGAAGAACATGAGAGTATTGCTGGTTTCCTTTCTTTTTCCTACCAGAATAGGACCAGCACCTTGCCCCAAGACTCTAACATCTGTCTTGCAAGAAATTCATGTCCACCATTTGTTTCCAGCTTCCAGATTAGTCCTCTGGCTATTCAAGCAATTGCATCCATACAAGAGGAGGAAATATCAGCTTCCAATTACAATACCACTGCTATGAGGTCATTTGTGGTTCATCCCCATTACCCTAAAGCACACTAGTTACAAAAAGAAAAAAGAAGCATACGCCAAACACCTGTCATAAATTATCTTCATAATAAATGCAAAAAAGAAAAAAAAAGGGAAAAGAAAGACAAAAAGATAGTCAAGAGAGAGTCATCCTTTTTGTGAAACAAAATCAGCTCTAATGCTTTCTCATAAAAATATGATGAGACATAACTAATGAGCCTGACCAGACCTGAGCTGACTCCAAAATAGCCACTCACCAATGTCTTAGATCCTTGCCAGCTTTTGTGGAAACATCTGTTCAGGTGAGACAGTGACCACCAAAACGTAAGTATCCAGCATGGTACTGCATTTGTGTCATGTTAACCACCCCCTAATCAGAGAATGAAGATCACAGTGCAATTACTCTACAGGAGTCTGGTAAGATGTAACTGGGGTCATTAGCTCCAGCTCAGTGTCTGTACAGCTCAGGATCTCATAGTCCAAATATCCAAATTACCCCAGTACTCATTTTACTCCAGGATGAAATGGACTCACACATTCTCTTTTGTATTTTCAAGATAGCTTTCCTTGGAAAATAAGCTTCTGTCCTGTCAATGTTTCCTGTGTGTTAACTCAGAACAATACTTTTATAACAGCACAGTCAGTGCTTTCTGTGGAACATCTGAGACAAATTGTACCCCTGCAGCTTCAGCTTTGACAATTAGAGTAGCATGAATATGTGTACTTCTAAAATATTTTAAACATTCATAATACATTCTTCCAAAAAGTGAGAAGTGCTGTTTGGATATTTGGCATTTATAGTAGTACAAGTCAAATAAAGTTATCTAATCCACATTACACCATATAGAGGAATTCATACAGCATAACCAGATCTGCCATGATTGACAGCCTCCAAAACATTACTTCAGCCAATGTGAATGCACCAGGTTTATAAAAGTCAGAATAAAATAAGATTAAAGAGGCCATCAGCTGGGTGGTTACCTGGGCCAGCTTGAAATTGTCTAGATTACTCATAAACTGATAATTTCCTCACAATTTTTGTTATGAAGTAGGCACAGAAAATGCCTCACCCATAATAAAATTCAAATATGGGAGAGGAAGAATCCATCACTAGACTAGACAGGTCTAAGTAACAATTATCCTTTCTTTATTTTGATAGGAGAATTAGGAGCTTTTATTCTGTAAAGAAATTACCTAGTACAGACTAGAGTAACCCACAAACTATCATTCTTGTCCATGGTATCAAGAACATACAGCAAAATGCCCTGTGAGATGATCTACTTCATATCTAACATTAACTGCAAAGTCTCTATATATACATGAGAACATGATAGTGACATGTGCCAAATACAAAATGTGGACAAATGTTACACTTTTCCATTGCTCTGAGGCCTTGAGAACTGATCCAAAAAATGTACATGTTGTTAGTTGGAATTTGCATTAGCTACTCTGCATAAATGCATCGAAATTCTATGACAGACACTAGCTTTAAAGAAACAAAACCTAGTAACTACACATTTTGAGAGAATACTTTTGCAATCAGTAAAATATAAAAAAAGCCACTATTCCCTAGGTGAGAAAGCTATGTTTACTAACAGAAGGTTATTTAAAACATCTTCATGATGACATTTATCAAACTGAAGACTACCTCCTAGAAACAGTGACTGACAGGACAATCAAATACTCTTCGTTACTCTCCATGAGGATTATTTTTACTCACTTCAGCTTCTGCTATTCACTGAAGTATGCAGACAGTACACTGTTTAACAATATTATGTTAAAGCACAGATGTCTAATGCTTAAGCAGACTTTATATACTTTTAAGACAGACTGCATTGGAAGCCACAGAAAGCTGTCACATTATCTTTCTAAATTGACACGCGAGCTTCATAAATGTGTATTTCCCCAATTGCTGCATTTTGAAGGCCATTTATCAGTTGTCCAAAAACTTGTAGGGAGTTTTTTGCATGTAGTTGCTGGACTTTCTCCCTGAGACTAAAGCACTAACCACTCAGATTGATACTCCACAACTTCACATTTTATGCAAAAAACCAGGTAATTCTCTCAAAGTATAGTTCTAAGGTTCTTTCCTCCTGTGCCTAACTTTTCTTTTATGTTCTGCTGTTAGTAAAATTAACAAAGAAACCAATGAGAATTCATTTTTGGAGACAAATTCAACAAGATTTCTCCATCTATTTTCTCTTATCTCAGTAGGGTACTTCATGGTAGGGCTAAGATCAAATTTAGATTTACTGTAAAAATAAGCCAAATACAAGAGATCAGTACAGATTAAATTTCTCATACCTCAAGATCTTGCAATTCAGTCCCATCTTCTGTATCTTTCAGTAGTTCAGTTAATCTTTTCCTTTCTCCCTCAAGCATAACAAATTGGTTTCCTGAATCCTTTGCTAGCTGAAATATTTACAAAAAGAAAACACCCATACTTCAGAACTCAACTAACTCAAACACCTCCAAAACAATGTTTTTAAACTCTATGAAATTAACAGCCAAATCTTGTTTATTTCCATAATACAAGTTATCACTCTGACAGAATAATAAAGCAGTCTACATACAATAAATTTATAATCTTATCTTAGTCTTTGACATAGAGGGAGGGCAAATATTTTTCATTGGATGAAAGATACCTACTAGGTCCTCACAGGAAAAAAAAAAAGCAGGAAAATCAAGGGATGTATTTTCTCACAGAGTGGCCCCATCCAAGCTATACACACAAACAACCTGTATATCTGTCCCTTATTTATGCATCAGGACATTTTCCTTTAACTTAACAGTAAATAAATTTTTTAAAAGTCTTAGGATGTTGTCCTTAAAAAAAATCTATGTCCAAACACAAACACAACAATTCAGTTTCCAGTACTCTTTAAGAAATGCATAGAAGCAGTATTACTCTAACCAATATGAGCATCCAAGCTGAGAACTGCCTAATACAGTACTCTGCAATAAACAGCAGTTTTAAGAAAGGTAATTTTTTCATTTATGCCTAATTAGCTTCAAAAGTTCCTGATTTTAAAAGAAAACTATCTTCAAAAGTACTTCTAGACTAATTTCTAGCTAACATTTTAAAAAATGTTATTGGTTTTATGCTTTAATTCTTACCTCAATGTTCTTTTTAATGAAATGCTGGCTGGTTTTATTTTTGCTATGCATTTTTTCTGCTGTTTTTTCAGTTTCTAATTCACTTGAGTAATCTGATGTTTGAGGAAGAAAAGTTGTTACATTATAATCATTCCTATTCTGATTCAACAAGAACTGTGATAACATCAATCCCATTCAAATCTTTAGCAAACATATAGAGTCAGTAGACAAACTTTTTGTATGATGTTCTCATTATTTGTGTAAATAACATCATTATATTTAAAACATACTACTGCCAAAATCTAATTTCATTTTCAACTTTTTATTATATGAGATCACTCAGTGTTACAAAGGCTAAAATACTTTTGGATTTCTGACCTCAAAAATGTTAAACATGGTGGCCTTAAAAGCCACAGCATTCCTTCAAACCCTCTCATCATTGCAGCTTTCTCATCATTACAAAACCAGACAATAATTTTTTTGAAAACCACAGAACTATCTGGAGACCTATCAAGTACATTTTTCTAAATAAAACAGCTGAAAAACAGATGATATCGTTGATATTATTATAACACAGTTTATAAAACAAATTTTGTTAAAAAATAAAAGTCATCATAGAGCTGTAAATCTATTAAACAGACACATGATATTCTAATAACAATAGGTTTCTATCCATGACAAAGAAAGGGGTATGATTCTGTTTTTTAGAGACTTTTACTATGCTTAAATAACAATTCCTTTATGAACAGCAAATATTTGTCACATTAAATAGCAAGTCTAAGCAAATACAGTCAACTTCTAAATCTGAAGAACTACTTCAAAAGCAGGCATGGTACTTCTTCCTTTTCTGGAAAGCAGAAATTTGAAAAATGGGTGGGTTATTTCCCTATAAAAAAAGAATTTAACATGTTAGATACTTGAAGACAGGCTATAGGGAAATAACTCTTTTTCAGAGTAAATAGAATGAAAGCAAACTCCCAAAGATATGAAATAAATTTCCTGCATGCTTTACACACAAACCCTTAAGGACTGAGGTGTTGAATCTGACCAAGAATTCCCCTCACAGTTCAAATGCACAACTGTTTTCTGAAAGCATCCTGAGCTTTCTTCACCATTACCAGGCAACATCATGTGCCGAGGAAAAGGATCATATAGGCACTTAACAATCAACATAAATATGACAGGTTGAGTCCTGAAATGAGCAGAACACACCAAACATCAACATAACACACAAGATATACATTACTTTTAAGCTATGTCTTTCCCTTGACTGTAGAACAGTATTTTTGAGAAGGAGCTATCATACAGAAAATCTCAGAACATTGAAGAACAGAAGGGACAAACATGGATCACTGAGACAAATACACTGAAGACTGTCATGGGTAATTAAAAGAGAAATTGCAGCTAAACAAATTTTCCATATGTGTTTCAGTAGATTTGGCACAAATTTCAAATATTTGGTAAAAATCTTGATAAGACTGATGAAGTAATAGCATAAAACTAGTATGTACATTCTTCTTCACAAGCTACTCTTGCTCAGGGTCTGCCTTTATGACAGCTGTGACACAGACACAAGCAATCAAAACAGTAATTCTTAGCTATTCAGACACCACATCAAAAGCCTCCAGCAGAAATAGTAAAAATCATTTAAAGCAATATATTGCTCACAAGCTGTAAGTGATCTCTACTTCATGCATTCCCAAAGAAGGAACGTGCAGAACATCTCAAAATAGAGCAAGTGACAGCAACTCTCAACCATGCCTGTACTGGAAGCTGCAGAAGTCAGTGCTGTACTGAATACTGGTAATGAAACCTTCCATTGTTATTCAAGGGCACTTCAGCACAACTCAGAAATTTTGAAGAGAGCTAAGGGTCAAGCTTTATTTAAAGGGAGGAATAAAAACACATGGTGAAAGAGAAATTAAAAGCTCCAGCCCACAAAGTTAAGGTCACATACTGGGGAACTAAGACAAGTGATACAATTATAAAGGAGCTGAGTTCCATGCTTAAAAATTAAAACATGCAGTCACATTCTACAACTGCAGCCATATCGCTGCCATTGATGCTTCAGCCTTGAGGAATGCACTTAGCCAGTCACCAGGAAGATAGATTCCTTCTGTTTACATAGAATGGCAGTTGACAAAGAAATTAACAATTGCAGCTTATAGCATTGGCAGTTGAAGCTATTACTCTTATATCACAACACATGTGAAAAGTTACTAACCACACAAATTTGAATTTCAAATAGGGAAAGAATAGAGGCATATGAGCACAATTCCATTTATTTTGACATGTTGGACACACTACACTGCTAACAGCATTTGAAATGTCTACACAGTGCATGATAACACATAGTCTCTAAAAGAATCAGCAGGTGTTTGAGTTTTGCCAGAAAGTACTTATTTCATAAAAGCAATGCAGGCTTTACAGTAATCAGCATAGCAAAATATAAAATAAATTGTCTGAAGATTTATGTTTGACACGAATCTATACAATTTCTGCAGAAAACAAAAAAAAACACAGAACAGTTGCAGTTAAATTCAGCACCACTTGTCATTTCTAGATGGTTTGCTGTTCTCTTCTTTCATTTGCAAAAAGGATAAGAACTGCCACTGTTCCAGTAAGTAACCCTGCTTTTTCCCATTTCACTGGCCTTGCCACAGAGGCTGTCTTCATTACCCACCCACTGTACATGTTATTTTGCCATTTCTAAAAATACAAACTCTGCCATTAATAAAGCTTACCCTGGTTTTCTTGGTCTTTATGGCAATCATAATCTTCAGGATTCATGTATGTGGGAAATACTGAAGTACATATTTCATCTTCTTTAGCACGGGAGGGATCTGTAAAGAATTTTTTCCAGTAAAATTTAACTGAAACATATTTAAAGAAGATCTAGCATCGTGTATCATACTATAAGACCTCACACTTGGAAAGTAAAGGAATTCACTTGGATAAATGACATAAGCACTGTATTTCTCAAGAAATAAAGAAAGGGGAAAGTGTAAAGTGTAAGTCATATGTATGCTGTTTCTTATGGCTGTGTTCTTAACAACTACTGCCCATAGAAGACAATTCATCACATTCTCAAAGATATAGCCTAGGGGCCTAAAGTTCAAATGCCTCTGCAGACACCATATGACAAGTCATCTAAAACATTGAATGAGGATAAAGCATCCAGGTTTTCACAGCTGGTGTCTGCCTGTGCACGAATTATTGGACTTCCAAGCAGCTTAGGTCAAGGGCATAGTCTAGAAAAACAGTGTTCAAGCATCCTAGTTGTTTCAGTTACTCAAAAAAAAAAAAAAAATCAATTGAAGTGTTCATATGTGTCAGCTGGAAATACAAGTTAGAGCAGTAAGTTGCAGTCTATACACTTAGCACTTACAGAAAAGGACTTATATTGAAAAGAACCATATCAATCACATGTGATTTTCACAATGAAAAAAACATACACTAAGCAGTAATAATGAAGTGCAATGGACTCAACTGAAGAAATTATTTTGTTAAACAGAGCATGGGGTAAGGAATTTAGGGCTGTTTAATTAACTCCTGATTTACATTTCTGCTGTGAGTGTGTCAGAAGGTGTTGTTGTGCCTGAAATACACTTAATAATAACTTCAGTTATTAATGATTTTGTACCCAAACTTGTGCTTGATTTCACAGCTACATTAAAAGCTATAACAGCTCTCATATATAATTTACTTAATAAAGCTCTGTCAAATTCAAGTTCTGAAAAGCAAAATATATGAAATGTATTCCATTTCAGTACCAACCAGGGCAACCAGCAAGACGTTTAATTAAATAAGTAAGTAAGACCTGAAAAGTAAGGCACTAGCATGATACCAAAAAGATAAAGATCAAGCTGGAGGAAAACTATAAATCTATACTATGCACTTTTGTCAGTGCAGTACAACAGAAACCACAGGATGCACATGATATCTACAGGAGATACTTTTTAAATAAAGGAGTTAGCAGTCATATAGTCTTCCTTGTCTACTGTTATTTTAATATATCCTGACATCTACTGGAGGCTGTCTAAACATCACCCATATCAAATTGTTTTCTTCCCTTAGTAACCCGAACTTTAGCATAGAAATAAATGCAGGTTACACTGTAAATAGTAAGTTTTGTAGAAATATTTTAACTACACACTGCTACTATTATTATGCATGTACTTCCAACATTCAAACTGAGATTTTTTTCTCAGGAATAACCATTCAAACCTCAAATCCTTATTCTCTCCCCAAAAAGAAAAAAGATAGGATGTACCACAATTCTGTTTCTCTTTACTTACCAGCTGTATCACGCCATGATGAGAACAAAGCTAAAAACTGGTTTGTGTTTTCCACCTCCTCGTGGCTTCCTATGCTTCTGATAGACTATTCAAAAGAAATAAACTGTGTATGTATAGATACATGCATATTTAAAGTAAATTTTTCAAGTGAAATACATTGTCTTCTTCTCAGATCTAATGAACTTCAGACCCTATTAAAAATAACTCTTCTCAGTTTATTTTCTTCTTGAGGGTATCTGAATATCTCCTGAAATTACAACAGAAGTATGGTGAAACTTTAAAGCCTCTGTTATATATTGTCTTTTATGTGGAGACCCACTTCACCAGGCAAAGAAGTTCTGTAATGTCTATGTGGCTCCAAATCCAAATCCAATGAAATTATGAAATGCAGTCAAACTAATCATGTTTTTTAGCAACTCACCTTTCTATTCATGTAAAACAGAGGAAATACTAACTTGTTTCAAGGCATTTAACTGCTAGAGACCAAGACAGAGATAACATAAAGGAATCTGTGCTGCAGCATTCTTATGCCTTCTTCAGGTAGCATCTCTAATTTCTTCAACAACAGACAGCACTGAAATAGCTGGGCCTAAGAAGGATCCCACTTGAGCAGAATAAATGCCTTTCAGCTTGGCTTCCCAGACGTTACCTCTTGACACACCTTCCCTGCGAGGAGTGAATTCAAGCTAGTAAACTACACCCAGGCAGCTGCATATTTGGCAATTTATCTTACCAATTTTTAAGGACCATGTTCTTCTTTCCTTGCCCAGACAATATGTATTAAAAATTATCCATTCTTACTTTTTAAGATCTATTTCTTAATTTTAGTTAGCCAACTGTGAGGTATTTAATAATAAGGCTTCTGTGAAATACGATGATTCTGTAAGACAGTACTTTAAGATATATCAATCACAAAATAAGCAGAACACTTCTAACCTGAAGTTCTTCCCAGAGCATTGCCCTCATTTCTCTGCCTTGCTTTTTAACTACTTTTTCCTTAAAATGCTGTTCTTCAAGTATTGTGTCGAGTTTATTAATTTTCTTTATAGCTGCTTGCATCTGAGCATTTGTAACTGCATCTTCAGAACATTCCAAGTCAGAAGAGTCTGCTGGAGAATGTATTTTAAATTAACGTTAGCTTGAAGCATGTCAAAAAAACAAACACTAAAAAGCAGTTCAAGTAATTGAATTCAACCCATCGAAAAGAGTACAACATTCTTAAACATATGTTAATTTCTAAACCTGTTTGTAGCAGGGAAAAATAGGGAAGTCTTTGCAACGGAATGCTGAATCAAACTCTGAGCCGTAGCAGTTGGATATAGAGGTGTGGAAGAGGAAAAGTCACCTATTTTGGGCAAGCAATTTGATTCAAATTTATAATGGAAGAGTGACAATATCTCCACAGTATCAGCAAAAATCATTGAGTTTAAAAATGTAAAATAATTTTTTCAGCCCGACTAGTAGAATACATTTTGAAATTAATAATTCTGGGGTTAAGAGGGACTCTGTAATATCCCTGCATTTAAATATTAGGGAAGTTTCAGTCTTGTATCTTAGCCAAACCAGATTCTGATACTGGTTCTAAAAACTTGAAAAACGGTGAAACATGATGGAAATTACCCTTACTTAATTAAAGTAGATTTCTATGTTGTCTCCTTTTTTTTTCCTAAATATACAGATTATAATTATAACTTTTAGCTTTTTCCTTTCCTTTAGCATCCTCATGCTCTGTCCTCGTTTATGACTTTCATATTAAGAGTAGAGGAAACAGTTGTAGCACTATCCCTAATCCCACAGATTTACAAATTTCGGAGTCCTGCAACACTCTTTCATTTTCTAATCTTTGGAAGTCAAATGCTTCACATGGCCATTGATCCAAGAATTTACTGTGATGCATTGGTCTACTTCATGCCATAAAAAGATGAGGGATACAACAAGGAGACAGCTATAAAAATTTAAATGAGCTACAGAGAACAGATGGACCCAAGGATAGATGGTAAAAAAAAGAGCACTGGCCTGAATTCAGCAGACTGATATAAACTTTAAACTACTGAGTGAAGCTTTAGGTTGAGTTCTACCCAATTTCTGTTCTGTAGATATTAATACCATGTTTGGTGACCGGCATTGCTGCACTGGATAGGATAACCACTGAATTCTGCCTTATTAGACTGATAGAATCTACGGAAAACTCAAATTCTATTATAACATTTAAGAAAATGAATATCCATTAATAAATCAATCTCTAAATAAAGAACTCACCCAATACCTCTTGAATTGCACAATTCATATTCAGCAGTATTCTTTTCTAACTATATAATAGACACACAAATACATGACCATTACAAACTCTCTTAGAAGCATTAATAAGAAAAGCAAAAGATTTTGCTGCACTGTTCATTTTATACACCTGAAAGATACTATCTGATTTTGCCTTACTTCGTTGTCCTGGGGAAGGTTCAAAGAACTTCAACATCTGTGTTTCAGTGCTTTCATCTCCAGAATCTGAATTAGAGCTACATCCTGAAAAACACAGGGAAAAGCCTTTCACAATAAACCATACACATTTTTGTCAATTAGGCATGACCACAGAGACCTTGCAGTGGATTAGTTTAAAAAATAGTATGTACTAGTACACCAGAACTCATGCTAAAAACAGGAGCAGGAATCAAGGGATTTCTTTTTACCCCAATTCTGTCATGAAATCTTAACTAAATTTCAAGACAGTATCCAAACATCTGCTTCACTTACTGGCCTTTGCATCTCTATTTGTAAACAGTCGGACACCCCAGAACATTAATCCATTACCTATTATAGAATGACAGAAGAATGCCATGAAACACTTCTGCAAGTGCTTCAATTAAAGTTATACACTGCATACTTATATTTAAAGTATTTTATTAGTATTAACATTGTTCAGTTGTTAAATACTGTAACTTATAAATTCCAGGTTTTTGGACAGATGGACCATTATCTGAAACTATCTGAAAAGTTTGATAAAAACAACTTAATGAAAACACTTTCTAACATGATTCCATGGAACACATGCAGATGGATTCCTCTGATCTTTTAAGCCAGATCCCAGCTTATGAAGCCACAAGACATTTACTGTACTGTACTGACAGTAATAACACATTTCTTTCAAAGGTAGATTTCAAATAGTGAAGAGAAGTGAAGGTATGGATTTTGACATCTTCTTTTCCAGAAACTTGCCTATCTGCAACCTCTATTTCCTTCACCAGTAGAATTATACCCAAAATACAAAAACTTGATATTTAGTCTAGTCACAACACAAGAAAGTTTTAGTCATTCCCACCTGACAACTCATCGGGATTCCACAGGCACTTCTGAAGACGTGTGGTCGTACTTGCCACTATTTGCTGATCTATTCTTAGTTCCTCAACTTCAGATTTATCTCTGTCATCACCTTTGTTTTCTGCTGGACAGCAATCTTCTAGACTGCCTCTCTGACAACCATCAGGCAAACTGTCAGGTGAATCAACCTATGAAATGAAATCATTGCCACCATGAAAACAGGGATGCTTTGGGTGAAGGAGATAACCACAATACCCACATGCTATCACAAAGTACAGCAACAATTCTGTACAATACTGCAGTGTACTTCTTAAATAAAAGAACCATTTCCAGGCCTGATACTAATACTAAGAAAGAGCTATCTTTCTTAGATTTCACATTAATTCTCAAGCTCATCATTTCCCAGACTGTAAGATTTGGGATTGCCAGGCTAGGGTATATATGAAACTAAAAAATAAAAAAAAAAAAAAAAGCTCTTTAGCATTCTACTATGAAGAATTAGGCATGGAGGTTTTAACCAGCTGAAGGAGAGAAACATTACCTTTTGCAAACATGGTTCTGGTGTTAATAACTCCATAGATGTAGATGTATTTAAAGATCTACAATTAGGTCTTGAGATAGACGCAGGCCTTGAAATTTCGTCCAAGCTCACACTTGTAATATTCACTGTTACCTAAAATTGGGGAAAAAACAGCAAAAAAAAACATTTCAAATGAACTATTTCATAATAAAGCACTACAAGCCCTGCAATAGTTCAGATATAGATCATGTGAGTTTCAAATGCTTTCTAGCAACTCCATGTTGCAAGGCTTTTCCACTTTAGACATACTTGCCACTAAAGTATTTTTAATAAATAAAAGTTATATTATTAAAAGTTATTAAAGTTTTTTAATATATATATTTATATATATATATA